GTGATGATGAAGATGATGATGATGATGAAGATGATGAAGATGATGAAGATGATGATGATGATGAAGATGATGATGATGATGATGATGATGATGGCTATGATGATTGTTGTGATGATGAAGATGAATCAGAGGTGACTCCATCGTCTCTGTCCTCGCTCCACTGACTCTCTCTCTCTCTCTCTCTCTCTCTCTCTCACAGTCAGTGACTCTCTGTCAGTCAGGATGAGACGTGTCATGTATCCGTGACGACCTGGTGACTGAGGCCTCATGGGAAATCTCAGGTGACCGTCAGAGTCAAACCAAAACGTGACGACAGAAGAAAAAGTTTGTCCATTAAGTTGATCAATAATTCAGGAAGTTGCTGCAGCGCTCAGCTTCCTGTAACACAAGCTCCTCCCCCTCCCCCTCCCCACACTCTGTCAATGTGTAGTGTAACTACTGTGTAAAGTATTTCAACTAAATACTGAAATACTCCTCAGATGTCAGAGGTTGCTGGTTCCAAACCCACAGACCAGAGTCAGAGGCTCCAGGGAAAGAGCTGCTCCACCACCACCGTCACTGATCAATACAGCGGGGGGGACATTTCCCACGATCCTCTGCTCTCTCTCTGTGTGTGTGTGTGTGTGTGTGTGTGTGTGTGTGTGTGTCATTAGCATTGTTAGCATCAGACCGCCCCCCCCCCCAGCAGAAGTTATTGATCGCTCCATCAGCTCGTATCGATCGACAGGACGACGCTTCACCTTCATCAGGGTCGGGGGGTTAGAGGAGGGGTGGGGGGGTGTTTTAATTAAGAGTCAGAGCAGCTGCAGTCTGTTCACTGGTGATGAAGGGATGAATATGATGAAGGGATGAATATGATGAATCAGTGAAAGACTAAAATCTTTGTCTCTGTTTGTCTGAGACATAAAAACATGTGAAGAATAAAAGTGACGTTGTGTTTGAGCTGCAGAGTGAGACCTCTGTCTTCTATCAGATCACAGTCTCCATGTTAATGAGACGTTACATAAATATTCTGATCAGGTTCTAATGAGGCTGCAAAGACTCACTACAGAGACTCACTACAGAGACTCACTGCAAAGACTCACTACAGAGACTCACTGCAATGACTCACTACAGAGACTCACTACAGA